GCTTCTTGAGTGTTGTTGGAACTGCAATCATCCAGGCAAGTGGGGAATATTTCATCACACACCTGACTCGTGCCTTGTTGATGGTGGACAGGCTTTGGGGAGTCAGGAGGTGAGTTACTTTCCCCAGAATTCCTAGCCTTTGTGTATTTATATCATCTGTCCAGCTAAGTTCCTAGTCTGCAGCAACACCCAGGATGCCGATAATGCACAGGCCAGCAATGGTAATGCTGTTGAATATCAAACAGGTGATGGTTTGATTCTCCTTTTTTTGGAGATGGTCAATATCTGGAATGAATGTGGTGTGAACATCACTCTTAATCTCTCAAGCATCCCCTCTCCTGTTGTATTTCCTCTCTCTCCAATCACGCACATTGTTGGGGCTGAGTATAGTCAGACTCTGGCTATCTAATATTTGGGAACAGGAGCACTATCTGATCCTAGATGACTAAAATAGATACAATTGTAGTCCGCAAAATCAAACGCAATTCCTCTCCCAGCCGGAACCTGTTTAACTGTATATTTCTCATATGCAGGCTCCTTCTTGAATCCCTATCCCTAATTTCCTCCTCCTCCATTCATCTCTATTAACCTCTGGCTGTCTCCCGCTAAAGATTATTAATGAAATGAAAGCAGTAATTATCTTAACAAATGAAACAGGGGCAGCAAAGCCCCAAGCTCAGTGTGTGGTGCAGCCTCTTCAGGATTGATAACCTTTTACTTATTTCTAAATCAAGGTTTACTCAAGGTCAGAAAGTGACAGAATCAAATTAACTCGAATCAGATTTTGGTTTTTCTTTCCTCTCTGGCTGTCTCTAAGGTGCTTGACCCTTTGCTGTGCAGTTCATTTTCCAAATTAGCGTGTGGCTCTTCTTTCCTCAATATATTTGGTATACTTTCTAATCAACTTGTTCTGATATTATTACACACCTCTGGAACAGGTGGGACTTGAACCTAGGCCTCCTGATTTCAAGGTAGGGACACTACCAATACCCTCTCAACGTGTTCTAGCTTGGTTTCCTCAAGTCTTCAAAGAAACACAGGCTAGACTTCTAGGTTCCCAGGAAATTATGTTTATTAATGCAGTGTACATGATTGTTAGGCTGCAGAGCAATGTCTTCTGAGCTCTACAGGGTCCAGTTGAATCATAGAATCCTTACAGTGTGGAAGCAGGCCATTCAGCTCGTCAAGTCCACACCACCTCTCCGAATAGCACCTGACCAGATCCACCCCCACACCCTATCCCTGTAACCTTGCATTTCCCATGGCTAATCCTGCTAGCCTGCACATTTAGCAGAATGCTAACACTTGATAATTAAAATCACCAGGCCATGGCATCACATCTTGCCTTGGAGTCCCATCTACCTATTCATCAAAACCCCTGCATCAGAAGGTTGTGGGTTAAAATCCCATTCCAGAGGCGTGAGTATGGAGATCTAGACGTATGAATGCCAAGGGTGTGCCACTGTGAGGTGCCACCAATCTGGATGAAAAATCAAACCAAGTCTACAGCTGCCTTCTTAGGTGGTTGCAAAAGATTGCCAATTTACTCAGGTCTGATTATTTTCATCTTGCTGTTTGAGGGAGTTTGTAGTGCACAAATTGATGACCACAGCTCCTGCAGGACAACAGTGACTGCGTTTCAAAAGGACTTAATGTCTGGAAAATTGCTTTGGGAAAAACTGAAGTCTAGAAAGGGGCTACGTGCATACAAGTCATTTCTGGGTACAGGAATGAATTACATTCATTTTGGCTACAGCTGCCAGGCATTGAGCTGGGTGAAAGTTTCCTGGTATAAGTCAACACTGAACGTCAATCTCGTTTACAGTGTGGCGATGTCCTCTGACATTTGAGGGGGTCAGAAGGCAACTTCTGATTGGATTCTATTTTGTCAAAGTCAGGAATTGGTGGATGGTACAATCTTATTTTACAATCACCCTCTCACAACCTATCGCTCTTCAAGGTTTTAATGTTAAACAACTATCAGACTGACCATGCACTGAAGTCGCCAGATCTGACTAGTTTGGTGCTCAATCTGAATGATTAATGTTTTAATTAAACCCTTTTGTTTTCAGGACCCCTCAGGTTCCGTGTCTCTGTGAGCTAGGCATTTATCTGACGGTAGCTGTGAGGATTGGATTGTTAAATGTATCTGACAAGGATTTGTTAAAGGCAGAAAATTTTACCGGTGTAGCCAGACAGCTGCATTTCAAGCCAAAGGGCATGTATTTAATGAACAGATACATTACAAGACAAAAAAGAGAAGAATTTGCATTTGTATAATGTCCTTCAAAATGCTTGGAATGTTCTGAAATGCTTTACAGTCAAGGAGGTACGTTGTTGTAATGTTGTAACACAGGAATATGACACCCAGTCTGTGCATAGCAAGTTCTCACAAGCTGCAGTGGCTTAGTGACCGAATCATCTGTTTTAATGATATTGTTTTGAGCGATGAGGTTTAGACAGGTCATTTAAGAGAAACAGGGATGTACAGTGAGCTATTTTGCGGGCTACTTTGTCCTGGGGACTGTTGAGCACTTGAGTGTTGTTGAAGCTGCAGTTATCCAGGCAATTCCATCACACTCCTGTCTTGAGCCTTGTAGATAGTGGACAGACTGGGAAGACAGGAGGTGAGTTAATCGCTGCAGGATGCCCAGCCTCTAACTTGCTCTTGTTGCCACAATATTTATACATCACATCCAATTCAGGTCATGGTAAATGCTAAATGACACCCACCACCACCATCCCCCACCCCACCCAAGGGTATTGATGGATACAGGGATTTGGTGATGCCTATACCACTGAATATCAAGGGGAGATACTTGAACCCTCTTTTTTGTTGACAGTCATTGGCTAACTGTGGATATGTACAGGACACTGAGACAACCCAGGAGACCCAGTGAAGCCCTAGTGACAGGTTACCCATATTGGATTTCACATCTGAGATCAATGTCAAGGTGATACACTGGCTTATATGTAGGAACTTTATTTACACTGCTTTAAAATGTCTGCTCCATGTTTCACATCTGGCTTCCAGCTCTTTCATCAGCTTATTTACTTTTCTCTAACTCTACACCCAGGCTGAATCAGTTAAGGACAATGAGCAACAATTGTAAACAGACTTAAAATCAAAAGCCACAACCTGGGCAATGCTATTCACCAATTCCTGATCGTTCTGACAACTTTTCTTTTAAAGAAGCCTGCATCACCCTTTTATACAGAAACAAGGAGCAGAAATGGGTCATTTGGCCCTCCGAGCCTGGTCCACCATTCAATATGAACATGGCTGATCCTCTATACTTGTGCCTTGTTCCTGTTTTCTCTCCAGACTTCTTGATCCCTTTTAAATCTATCTCTTTTCTTGAATATATTCAGTGACCCAGCCTCCACAGTCTTCTGTGGTAAAATATTCCACAGGTTCACTACCATTTAAGTGAAGAAATATTTCCTCACTTGAAATGGCCAACCCCGCATCACAAATTTGGTAACAGTTTACAATGACCATACTTAGTCTTATTGTCCAGAAAAAAAAATAGGGAGAGCTGATGACATAGTGGAAACATTATTGGCTTTGTAATCTAGGTTAACATTCTGAGCACATTGGTTTGAATCCCACCACAGCAGTCAGTGACGTCTGAATTCAATAAAAAGCCAGTCTAATTGTGACCATGTAATCATTGCCAATTGTCATTAAAATCCCAGCAGAACTGAAGGAGGATTTCTGGACCCAAAACATTAACTCTGCTTTCTCTTCACAGGTGCTGCCAGACCTGCAGATTTCCTCCAGCAATTTCTGTTGTTTTTTGTTTCTGACTTCCAGCATCTGCAGTTCTTTAGTGTGTTTTTGGTTTAGTATTTTTCTTTAGGATATGGGTGCTGTTGATCAGGCCAGCATTTATTCTTTTGTTCTGAAGGACCTTATAGAGGTTTATAAAATGAGGGGCATTTAGCTCTGTTGACTGGACAGTTGGTTTGTAAAGTTGACAGTCTGGGTTCAATTCCCACACTGGCTGAAAATTACAATGAAGGCCTCTCCTCCTCAGCCTCTTCCCCTTGCCTGAGGTGTGGTGACCCTCAGGTTAAGTCAACTCTCTCTACTGAGAGAGCAGCCTGATGGTCTGGTAAGATTATGGTGACTTGAGATAATGTGATCAGCAAGGGTATTTTCCCTCGTGTGGGAGAGTTCAAAACGAGAGGCTGTATTCTTAAGCTGAGAGGAGAAAGATTTAAAAAGGACATGAGGGGCAACATTCTCACACAGAGAATAATTTGTGTGTGGAATGAGCTGCCAGAGGAAGTGATGGATGCAAGCACAGCTACAATGTTTAAAAGACATTTGGATCACTACATGAATAGGAAAGGTTTGGAGGATATGGGCCAAACACAGGCAGGTGGGACTAGTTTAGTTTGGGAACATGGTTGGCATGGACTGGTTGGACCAAAGGGTCTGTTTCCGTGCTGTGTGACCCTACAAAGGTCACTGGATCTGAAATGTTAACACTGCTTTCCCTCCACAGATGTTGCCAAACCTCCTGAGTTTCTCCAGCAATTTCTGTTTCTGATTTCCTGCACCTGCTGTCCCTTAGTTCATTATATTTTCTTTAAACAGGATATGGGTGATGGTGGCCAGTCCAGCATTTATTCTTTTGTTCTGAGGAAGGGTCACTGGATCCCAAACGTTAGCTCTGTTTCTCTCTCCACAGATGTTGCCAGACCTGCTGTGTTTCTCCAGCAATTTCCGTTTTTCTGTTTTTAACAAAGGCCCAAAAACTGACCTTACAATAGCTACACAGCACTGAAAGAGTTAGCAGCACAGGCATTGAAGCTGTCTGTAAAATGGATAGCACAACATATACAAAAAAGCAAGCGATTGCCAATACAGACCATGAGATGGTTAGTCACCGAGCTCTGCTGACAGTGAAATTCATCATAGAAGCAGTAACGTTATAATATTCATTAAATTCATTCATTTTTAATCCAGTGGTTGATTTAAATGCTCCAACCTGTAGTCATCAGGAGTCAAAGCACGTCCCAACCGTTTGTGAAGGATTTCATTTGTCGCCGCCATCGCCACCGTCCTTCACCAAAATGGCGCCACCATCACTGCCCTTCACCAAGGTGGCGGCACCACCGTCACCGTCCTTCACCAAGATGGCGGCGCCAGCGCCACCGTCCCTCAGCAAAGATGGTGGCGCCATCCGCCTTTCACCAGGACAGCGGCGCCGGTACCACAACCCTTTACCAAAATGGCGACGCAATGTCCTCCCCCTTCCCAACCACAACGGCCCTTTACCAAGATGGCGGTGTGGACGCGCGCTACTTTTTAACGGCAGCAGGTAATTGAGCCGTTCGACGCGTTAAATGATGAAGGGTCTTTTTCAAACCATGCACATGTCCGAGCTGCTTTCGGTTGGCCGAGAAAGTAGTTGTTTTTTATATTTTTAGAAAAAGACGAAGCTTTCCTCGCATCAGCAAGTGACTCGAGTCGACAACATGGCGGTGTTCGGGCTGAGAGTGGTGGTGGAGAAGGGGAGGCCTCTCCCACACTGGTACATGGCTGGGCCAGTGTGTCTTGTCTGTGATTGACATAAACTTGCAGTGCCCACCCGGGCAGTGCCAGTCTCCTCCTGTCACCAGCAGTGAGCTCTCCAGGGCAGTTGGCGTGTGCCTGTGTACCATGCTCTCCAGTTGGTGACCCACCATGGAGTCTCTCAGTGACTGGCTGACAGGATTACCCATCACCCTGTACCACACTGGGTATGGTCACCCATGCAATGCTTTGGTGGCTTGTACGAATCACAAAACATAGTAACAGAAGTAGACCATTCAGTCTGCTCTGCCATTCAATGAAATTGCGACTGATCTTCTCATCCTCAACTTCACTTTCCTGCTTTTTCCTCATTACCCTTGATTTCTTTTCTTACTAAACATCTGTCTCTCTCAGTCTTTAATGACCCAGCTTCAACAGCTCATAGAGTCATACAATACAGAAACAGACCCATGATGACATTTTGATGAAGAGTTATCTAGACTCAAACCATTAGCTTGCTTTCTTTCCGCGGATGCTGCTTAACCTGCTGTGATCTCCAGCATCTGCAGTAATTTGTTCCTACGGAAGCGGACCCGTCGGTCCAACTTGTCCATGCTAACCAGATATCTAAAATTAATCTAGTCCCAATTGCCAACATTTAGTCCCTATCCCTCTAAACCCTTCCTATTCATACAGCCAACCAGATGCCATTTAAATGTTGCAATTGTACCAGCCTCCACCACTTCCTCTGGAAGTTCATTCCATACACACATCACCCTCTGTGTGAAAAAGTTACCCCTCAGGTCCTTTTTAAATCTTTCCCCTCTCACCTTAAAGCTATGCCCTCTAGTTTTGGACTCCCCTACCTAGGGAAAAGACCTTGGCTATTCACTGTATTCATGTCCCTCATGATTTTATAAACTTCTATAAGGTCACCCCTCAGCCTCCAACGCTTCAGGGAAAATAACCTCAGACTATTCAGCCTCTCCTATAGCCCCAAAACCTTCAGCCCTGGCAACATCCTTGTAATCTTTTCTGAACACTTTCAAGTTTCACAACATGTTTCCTACAGCGCTCTGTGGTAAAGAATTCCTCAGGTTAACCACACTTTGAGAGAAGAAATCCTCATCACCTCTGTCCTAAATGAGCAACTCCTTATTCCGAGATTTTACCTTCTGGTCCTAGACTCTATTGTAAAGGAAAACAATCTTTCTGCTTCTACCCTATCATAGAATCATAGAATCCCTGCAGTGTGGAAACAGGCCCCTCAGCCCTACAAGTCCACACCAACCCTTGGAGCATCCCACCCAGACCCATCCCCCTGTAACCCACACACCCCTGAACTCTACAGGCAATTTAGCATGGCCAATCCACCTAGCTTGCGCATCTTTGGACTTTGGGAGGAAACCTGAGCACCCGGAGGAAACCCATGCAGACACTGGGAGAATGTGCAAACTCCGCACAGACAGTCGCCTAAGGCTGGAATCGAACCCAGGTCCCTGGTGCTGTGTGGCTGCAGTGCTAACCACTGAGCCACTCTTGTATGTTTCAGTGTTGACCAGCTAGGGCCAGAAGTCCTGTCCACTGTCCAGTTAAGGACAGCCAGTGGGTTGTTAAGCCTGGAGAACCAATAGAAGAGCCTCCAATAAACAGTTGTGGAGTCATTTACAGCACTGAAGGATACCATTCAGCTCATCAAACCCATGCTGACACTCACTAGAGAAATCTAGTCAGCCTTATTCTCCCACTTAATCCTCGTAACCCTGCAGGTTTATTTCTCTCAAACACCCATCCAATCCTCCATTCGAAATTATTGCTTGTTTTCCCTTCCACCACCCTGTGGGCAATGAGTTTCCAGGCCATTACCACTCACTATGTGAAGATCTTCCCTCTCACATTCCTCCACACACCCTGAACACATTCCTCCCCCCACCCCCCCACCTTTAGCCCAAAACCTTAATGCCGAGTTTCCAAGTCCTTACACGGTGTACCACCAGTCAACGTGAACATCTACCTTGCACAAACCTGCCCTAATCTTGTACATCTCCATTAAATCCTACCTCAATCTCCTGTGCTCCAAGAGGAACAATCTCAATTTCTTCAACGTAACTTCGTAGCTAAACCCCACCAATTCCCCCTTGAAACATTCTGCTAAATCTGATGGCACCTTTCAAAGGCAGCAATCATGCCTGTCACTGCCGCACTACCCCACCCCATGTGGTGGGGTGTCCCCTTCACTCTGCTGACTTCAGGCCTCTTTATCTGATGATGTCTTTGGAGGATGAAAATCATTGATATGGATGATGATTTCTTTGAATGCAGGAGCAGGCTGGTTGGGATGAATGGCCTACTCCAGCTCGTCCTTCTGATATTATTTTAATGGAAACCTGGGCGGTGGCTCTATGTTAAATGTGCCCTCGCAGTACACAAAGGACCGTAAGTAATAGGAACAGGAGTAGGCCCTTCGATCCAGCTCCACCATTCAATAGGATCATGGTTGATCTGACATTCCTCACATCCACATTGCTGCCTTTCCCTCCATTACCCCTGATTCCCCGGCTGATCAAGAATCTATCACAGTGCTAAATGTGCACAAGCACTCAGTTCCCACAGCTCTCTGCGTCAAGGAGTTCCAAAGATTGTCAGCCCTCTGGGAGAAAGAATTCCTCCTCGTCTCAGTCTTAAATTGGTGCCTCCTAATTCTGAGACCATGCCCTCTGGTCCTAGACTCTCCCATGAGGGGAAACATCCTCTCCACATATAACCTGTCAAGCTCTTTAAGAATCCTATATATTTCAATAAAATCACCTCATTCATCTAAACTCCAATGCGTAGTGTAAACCAACCTACCCAAGCAATGCCCACATCTCCCATGGGGACTACCAGTCTGATGTTGCCTTAAAAACCTTGGACTGGGGCTCCTGCTCTCCAGGTTCCTTCCACAACTGAGCGAGGCTCCCGGAGGCAGGAAGTTCCTCTGGGAAGATTGAGGCAGGAGTGCTACTGCCCTCCTTTCTGCTCCCTATTTCCAGGTTCCCGATCTAGAATTTAGGGCAACATCAGGATCCAAACTGAATAGGGAAGAATCTAGGACTTCGGATGTGAATGATACTAGGGGCGATGATAGGCTTATAAAGATGGTCGCACGTGGTCATTTAAAGGGTTAAATTTACATCGGCACTTAAACATTGACAACGCAGACGTTAGAAATTCCAATGTTGAATATTTGGAGCGCACTCCTCCTTGCAAGAATACAGCTCAGTCCGATCCGTCTCTCAAACAATAATCACTCATGTCACTCCCTGCACGGATCAATAGAGATTAAGAGAATAAAGTCAGACTAATCCAACCCCCATCCTGACATGGACGTCCAATCTCCACTTTGCTTCATTTCCCAACCCCCACTCACTAACTCGTCATCACTTGACGGTTTAAGTCAGGCTAAGGACCTTCCTCGTCCTCTTTGTGACTTTCGGCAAACCTGTTGCCACCCTATCTCCCTTCCCTCGGTCTCGTCTTCCTTCCCACTTCCACTTTTGAAAGAGAGAGAGGGCTAGGAATTGCAGGAGGCAATGTGTGTGAGTGAGAGATGCAGGCACAAAAGAAGAGAGCTCTTGAAGTGGTTGTCATGACGACAAATTGGTTCAGAGTACCTGTCACATTAACTGAATGGGTAAGAATCAGACTGCATCTGACAGGAATGATAAATGGGGGCCCCTTCCATTATTCAAAGCATTGCCTTAACCCTCATCATTCAGGCTGAGCATGTTTCAGTCTATAAGTAACAGTGGGCAAACAGGACAAGGATAGGAGCTGACTCGGGGCTAGGATTTATAGTCATAGCGGTCTGCAGCACAGAAAACGGCCCTTACGTCCATCGAGTTTACTGTAGTAAAAAAACAACCACCTATTTTTCCATATAATCCCACCTATAATCCCGTTTTCCAGCAGTCGGCCCATAGCCTTGTATGCCTTGGCATTGCAAATGTACAGCAAAATACTTCTTAAATATTGTGAGGATTTCTCTAACATCTCTACCATCCTTACAGGCAGCGAGTTCCAGATTCCCAACATCTTCCGAATGGAAAAATATTTCCTCACATCCCCCCTAAACCTGCTATCCCTTACTTTACATCTATGCCCACCCCCCAATCATTGATTCCCTCCACCAAGGGGAAAGTCTCTTCCACTTTATCTGTGCCCCTTATCATTTTATACGTCTCAATCATGTCCCCCTTCTGTCTCTTCTGCTCCAAGGAAATCGACCCCAGTCTAGCCAGGTTCTGTTCATAACTGAAAATCTCCAGCCCAGGGAACATCATGGTAAATCTTCTCCGCACCCTCTCTAGTGCAGTCATATTATCAATTAACTATAGGCAAGACTGACTGGAACAAATGTACCTTTGAGAAAAGACATTACAGGTGACCAGAAAATCATCTTCAGAATGTGCATATTCTGACTTTCTCAGAAGACTATGCCTAAAATGCTGTTTGGCAGATTGCACAGGCCTTTGAGTATAGGAAATGGGACGTTATTTTGAGGTTGTATCAGACTTTGGTGAGGCCTGT